CACACACACACACACACACACACACACACACACACACACACACACACCACAACAAAGTGTTAAGTTATTTTATTGCTTCGACTTTTACTTGCTTCTATGTGATGTGATGTGATGTGATGTAATTTCGTTCCGGCTAATTAAGGTTACTGCATACGAACAACAGTACATATTGTACAGTTGAGAATTTCGGTTCGTCGATGATACACCGCCGAATGAAATAACGCTAAACCACTGACAGAACAAAGACTTTCGATCTATGCATTTTTTTTTCTCTACTTCTTCTTTATTTCGTTCTATACGTATAAAAAAAATGTTTCGGTTTTCTTTTCTGTTGGCGTTTACCTTTGCGCTGCATTTGCGGCTTTTTGAACCAACAGATAGAGCAGATCTAATAGAATTGATTAGTTGTACAAACAGTTTAATGTGTATATTTTATGAGTTTATTACGGGATTAAGGGAACGCATTTGGATTGCATTTTAACGCTTGCTGGTTGATGTTGTTTTTTTTTCTCTCTTCATTTCTATAACAAAGCGAACGTTTTGACGTTTTTCGAGCATTCATTGCGGTTTTCTATCGAATCTTAACTTCAGTTTGATTGCATCCCGAATAGAGAAGCTCACACCTTTGACTTTTGAATGCAGTTCTCAAGTTGAAATGAACAAATGCATTTATTAAATGCATTCGCGTCTAGTTCTTACTATGCGCTCTGGCGCATTAACCGAATGGAAGAAAGATTGAGGAGCGCATTTTTCGGCATCTCCAATTTAAAACCAATCGATTTTCGGTGTGAAATGATTGAATTAGTAGTGAAATGTGAAAAATAGAGCCATCCATTTGATTTATAGCATTGAAATCGCCGCTACCACTTATATCGTTATTGTTGTGTGCATGTGCGTTTGTTGTTTTTTTTTCTTCATTCCAAATGCCGCTTCACAATTACAATAATTCATCCGTTTGAAGGCCTTGGCGAATTTGAACAAATGAGCATGTTGATCCCATTCTATGAGCATATGTAATGTGCCGCGTGCGCGTGGGAAGTTCTTCTTTTGCGCTGAAATTACAGCCACTGCGCCTTACAAACCACATACGTCAATTTGATAAGCTGATAGCAAATGGCAACATGATTTGTGGTCTGTTGGCAAAACAACGTGCTACCTAGATACATTTGCAATCCGAAATTCTGTCAGCTCATCATCAATTTTTATGGGCCCACGTGTGCCACCATTACTCTTTGTGCAACGTTCAGTAGAAACATGCTTCTAGATTCTTTGTGGCATTGTTGTACTCACTTTGAAATGCAAAACATTTGGGCTGGAGCGAGCGCAGCGAAAGCACAGTTAAACTTAATTACCGTATTAAAAATAGTTTACAAAGTGCAAAAGATGCATCAGTTTGCCGTGTTTTTCTATAATTTCATAACATCAGCCACATTTGTTTTGTTCGTGTCTTCGCGATCGCTGTTGTACGCCCAGCCTGTCTCTTTCTCTTGTTGTTCCTTTCTCTCTCTCTCTCTCTCTCTCTCTCTCTCTCTCTCTCTCTCTCTCTCTCTCTCTCTCTCTTTGTGTACAAGACCTTTGATACGCTAAACGTGTGGAAAACGAAATCACAAAATGCAAAACAGCAAATGAAAATAATGTGCTTATGATTTATGATAATCATACGGTACAAATAAGACATATAGTGCCATTACATGTTTGTTTTTTTATATTTCCGTTTCTTTTTGTCTTCTAGCTGAAGAAGCTAGAATAAATGCGATTCACAGTGGATGCTATGTTGCGATGTGATACTACGAGCAGCCAAGTGAGCGCATGATTAATTCGGTGTGGAATGAAATTCAGTGGAAAAGATCAAGCAAACGTGCACAAAAGCCAACAAGAGGCGACTGCTCTTTATTCATCAATTTTTCCGATCAGTCGTCACAATACATCGACGAGAGTGGCAAAAGTGATTCAACTGAAGTTTTTCCCATTTCTCGCATTGTAATTGTTTGTTAAGTAAATCTTCTTAAAAAGCAATCAAATTAATGGAGTAAAGAGAGAATAAAAGAAATAAATAAAATATAAAAAGGGCAGCAGCAGCAACAGCAACACATTCACATCATGGGCAACAATGTTAATCCACTCGTTCAAACCAATATCGAATGGATCGATCATTAAGTTCTGCTTAAACAGAAGTTTGATGGACCATAATTTCAATTACTATTTGTTTTTGCATGTTGGTTTTTTTTTCTGTCATTCCAGTGTTTTGTATTTTTGTCTCACCGCGACCCAAGAAGAAACAGTCAATCGATTCAAATTCCCATTTCCACGGCCGAGGCTTGTTCATTGCCACTTTCGGCCACAAAATCAAATTCAATCGAATCTGATCAAATTGATTTTTTATGTTTGATGCGACCACTGGCTTCTCATTTTAGCTGGAAATTGCCAGCATCGGAAAAAGTGACGTCACAACAACGTACTTTGAGTATGTTCGCTTTTCAAAATCGCTGTCGATTTACTTTAAACTCAATGGAGTTTGAAATGTTCTTTTTTTCTCTTTTCGTTTCTCGCCGTTGGTTCCTCCAGGAAGGGAAAAAAAATAAGAGAAGAACCATACGAACGAATGAAGAACATTGCAGAGAGAACAATGAACAAAAACCCATGGCAATAAAATTAATGTTTGATTTGTAAACGCTAATTTGTAAATGGTCTCAGGGATTGTGTCTCTCAGGTAGCACTAAAACAAAACTATTATATACACAAAACGGTGTGAAAAACTAACAAAAAGCGCTCAACGAAATTGAAAAACTGACCGATCGACATCTCGCGCGACTCGAAATGTTTTCTTCGGTTTTATTGTCTTTTTATTGTGATTCTTAATTTACAATTAAAACAATAGCGACGCATCTCGCTCTGTTCAGGTGGTTCGTAGGTGTGATGATTTATCTCCCATTGTTGGCAGTTTTTCAGTTTGGCATCAAGCAGCAGCAGCAGTTTGGCTGGGGCACCAAATTTCGATGAATCAGCTATTTTCAGTGGCGCGACCGTGTATGCAATAGAAATTTTTACAAATTCGATCGATACATTTGTCTTGCACGTGGATCGGGCTTGTGTGTGTGTCTCTCTGCCATTGTCGTTCAATGTTCTCGTTCGAACGCCGGCCAAAAAACTAATTATTCAATATGCGAACAAGCTTAAGAACAATATGGTTCTAATTGATTTGATCCGCAAGTTTGATCGGTTCAAGTGTAAAATGTTTGATTTGTTTTAGAGTTCAAGTGGTGAGGGCAATCGCATATTCTAAGTCCACAACAGCAATAGCATCGAGCTACCTCTGTGATTCCATTCCGAGATTGGAGATGCAAGAAAACTGTCAACTGGACATTTCCTCATTTTCAAGATAATCAACAGATCAACAGTCCAACAACAAATCCATGTACGAGCAACACGGTTTTTTTTCTTCTTCTTCTTTACAACTATTGATATTCATAGTTTATTTAGTGTCAAATACGTCAGCTATTAAAATCCATTCAACCACATCTTTCGAAATGACAGAATAATGCCTTGATGTCTTTGACACAAATTTCAATATGGAAATCTGTTGTGGCAAAAATCCATTGTTTCTCCTCTTGCGTCACATTTCCAATGGATTTTCGTGTGATTACAAATGAAAGAAAGTATCAAATATTTTTACTTACATTTTTGCGCAAATAGGCCACATCTTTCTTCGTCACCAATTTTGACTTGTCCGTCTATATATATATTCACTACTCTAATATTTTTCGTTGACTGGTTGGTAGGTGGGTGAGATGAAAGTAAATTGAAAAATTCGCCCAGTTTGCTAATCACCTAGAACAAGTGTCTTTTTTCCCGTGTATCTCTATGATTGGGAATGTGAATTTCAACTGTCCAGTAGTAGTAGTTCTCCTGAATCTTTTCAAATCGTTAACAAAACACACACAAAAACTTCCGATCAAACAGTGCAAACCCAATTCAGCAAAATCAAAAATTGCTGGTGAAATTGTCTTTTCTTCGCCAATTCTATCGCTTTCTCCTGTTTTTCTAGCACATTTAATGTACACACACTGATTAAGTTCTTAGTTTTTTTCTTGGAATGTTTTTTTTTCGTTTCCCGCCGTTGGACTTTTTTTTCGTTTGAAATGCTACTTTCAAATGATCATGAGCAGAAAACACTTCTTCAGGCCAATGAATTATTTCGTAGATTCACGTTTTCGAGAAGAATCAATTTCAATTCTAATCAACAAAAACAATGATGATCAAATCAACTGATCTCAAGAGTGTGAGTTTCGCACCAAAAAAAAAATTACATGACAGAAGTGAAAGATGGAGCTCAAAAAAGAAACAAGTGTTTGTCACGTCTTCCAACTTTGTCAGCAATGGTTCCGTTTTTGTCCGTGTTCTTTTTTCTGCTCGATGAAATCCCAAAGTGTCGTCGTTCTTCAGTTACCTTTGATTATCACCGGCTGCAATGTGCTGCAATGTACAATTTAAAAAAGAGAATCGCATATAAATAATGGTGCATATTACAGTTTCTGTTTCACTACGTATGCATATAGCACATGTCTGTTGCAATACACTGCGTTGCTGGTTGTGTGCTGCTCTTTTTTTCGTGTCTCCGTTCTGGCAGTAAAAGAGAAATTGCTACTTGTCGTTTTTGGTGATTAAAATGTGTGCTCACGGGGCTCAAAAATGATGTTGCGTTCAGTAGTGTGTGTGTGTGTGTGTGTGTATATATAACACAGAAGTGCAGTTACCAAACAAATGAATGAAAATTATAACGTGAACAACATACGGAATCATCATCGGAATAAGAGTCATATGTGTTCGCTTGCTAAGATTTTGCGACCGAATAATGAAAACAACGAAAGAACTGGCGGCAGTTCACATCTACATCGTCGATCCACTGCACCAAATGAGTACGGTGCAGCAAATTGAAAACAGTTAGACAAATTAATGGAGTCAGGTACTTTTGAATATGATCTCAGCACCACACATACCCACAGTATCACAATCAACCGATGTGCGTTATAAATTTAATTTAGTCATTTATTTCGTGTAAGTTTCGCGCTCGCTCGCTCACAATTCATTTATTTACTATTTTCCCCGGCAGTGACTCAGAGCATCACTTACTCCCTCGAAAATAGTTTTCGCTTGCATAATTTCATTGTATTCATTAGCAGCGATACGTCGCCGAACACTCGTCGCATTCGAAACGACGAGATATGTGAAATTATAAATATTGGATTAAAAATGGGTGTTCATTTTTATTGTTCTTTCCGCACACACACACACACACACACACACTTCATTTTAAAGACTTTTCCAGCACCGCGCACCAGATTTGGTGTACAACCGCACAAGAGAAAGAGCTCCTATCACCGTATTAACATATGTTGAATTGTGTGTTAGAAGGTGCCACAAAACATTAAGTCGTACAAAAACTGCACTTTTCATTCAAATTTGAATACAAGTGAGCGAGCGAGCGAGCGAGCGTCAGAGAAAGAGAGAAAGCAACAAAGCGGATGAATGAGGAATGAATTACCAGCAAATAATTAAATTATGCAGTTTTTGTGCAATGTTCTTTAAAAAAAATTTCTTCATGATATTTTAATGTTTTCATTGTCGTCGTCGCATTACATATTTTCGCTCGCATCGCTCATTTGTTTTGGTTAGTTTGTTCAAAGTGCGAGTTATGTAATGCACCCGGCGCGCACACAACCGCAAAGAGAAAACAAAAACGAACCGTTTTCTTTTCGATGAGCGTCGGAGGAAAAGCGATTGCGAACGAATGATGCTGAGTGTGCGGCATTGAATGAGATTTAAATTAGCACAATATGTGCAAATTGGGATGGAATTCACTAAATATGAGCGCCACATACGTTTTTCTTTTCTGCATTGCGATTGAGTAGAACAAAGGTGTGCAGCAATATCATTCACATTTGCATCAAAATCACGTTTGTGCAGAAGTTATTGCAAGTTTACATTTCCCGTAAGCTTTACCCCAGTTGATAATCAACTTCCATAAGCGACAACTTCTCTCATTTCCGCTATCTTATTTCGTGATTCGCTCCTATCGCCGCTTGATAGATCACATTCGTGATTCGCTCAATTGTGATTGCACGATGATGTGAGTGTAAGTGTATATGTTGCCACTGTCTTTATTGCCACTTTTAACGCTGCTGCACTTCTCATAAGTGCAAATACTTCAATTTTTTTGAAGTCTTATTGTTTGGATTTTTTTTGTTGAATTTACACCATCTTTTTCATCTGATCAAATTATTCTCTGATGCATTTCTACTTGTTGTTATCATGTCGTTGAAATACCATTTGCAGAACACCATCATGAATCGGACAAAGAACAACTGCATCTTTCGAATTTCAATTTCAGTATTTTTAGATACATTTCTTTTGCTCTTCGGAATTCTGCGTAGAAATTTTCAGTAAATCCCGTAGTGAATGTTTGTAGCACCCGAAAAACGGGTCGCGACCAAGACTTCAGGATTCCAATTGATGATCAATTGAAATCATTTGAATCAAATGTCGTTGAAGTCTAATTTGTTTAATTCAAACCGGCTGAAGCAGAGCAGACTAGACAATGGGCATTCACATTGGGAAATCCAGTACATATCTTGTTTAACCCATTGCGATTATGTAAATCAAAATTAAGTGGCATTTCCATGGATATTTTCAATAGCCGTGATAGATATGCTAATGGTTTTAAAAATTACTGGTCAATTAAACCCGTAAATCATTGACGTAGTTTTTGGATGTTTGAAAGAAAAACTATGTCAGAAGCGAGTAATGCAGACGATTCACGCATATGCGTATATAAATACATAGCTTTGATGAGAAAGATAAAGATCAGACGTGAGCATAATATGCTCCAAACGTATGTGTGAGCTTCTCAGTTGCCTTGTAAAAATCCGGCCGACACGAAAAATAACATTTCGAGCAAAGAAACAACCGAGCTGAGTTCATAAACGCAGAACCATTTTCTCCTTAAACATAAAAGAAAAAAACCTTCAAAAGGGATAATTTCACCACTCACATTTTTGTTTAAAAAAACTTAAAAGAAAAACCCAAAAGAATGATCTCGAACTAATTAATATGTGACAAAATCGTTGACATTTTGATAACCGGTAGAATGTTGAAAAAAAGTGTTCACGCGATCACAAAACCGAGATCGATCTCAAGTAGCTCCTCCAAGAAAAATCTTCAATTTCAAACACACTTTGATAAATTTCGCACACAAAACTCTGATGTAATTTTGACGTGATTTGTAACGGAAATGGACCGACTTGTAAAAATTTCGTTTCAGCAAACAGAAGAAAATGAAAAGATTTCGTGCGATTGAGTTGATGAGCACAGTTAAACTGAATGAAATAGTCAGTTGAACGAAAAATCACACTCCCCGAATGGATTCGGTGGTATACGCGGCTATGCTTCAGGTGTCGGTCGCTGTTGAGCCGTCGGTATGGATTTGTTGATTTGACGATGACAACAGTGGTAACAATAACACAAACACACAATGCGATGTAGCGGGCCACACCGTGAGTATATTGGGTATGTTGCGCGATCGCACACCGTGTACCTCTATCTCGATCGATTCGAAAAGAAGAAGAAGAAAAAAGACACATTCGAAGCTCTACACACGAACGTTCTCATTCAATTCGGCTTCGCATGGGTACGTTACAGCGACGAAAAGAAAACGGTAGGGAAAAAAGCGCTAAAAACGGAAAACGTTTAAGAAAATGAACGAAGTTGAAGGAGAAGAAGAAGAGGTTGGCGCGTAAAGTGTGTGGTGTGAAACGATTGTTGCGCGCTTCAGACGGCTCTTTGGATTCCAGAGAGTGTGTCGTAGTGGCGCGCGCCTGAGCGTGTGTTATGCGATCTATAGTCGGTATGTCGCCGTACAAAAGGGAGCGCAATGTGCTGAGATGCGCTCGAAGACCACATTTGATGTAACACTTCACGTTTAATCGTACCCATTCTCGGTCGGTGGATACGATGAAGTAATGCTGTGTAATATGGATTTCGAATAGCTAACAGACATTATTAGATCATAGCTCATAGCGGATTGTGATGCGTTCGTTCTCTGCACCCGCTACTTCTAATACTACTACTGCTGCTGATGCTACGACGGCTAACTATGTTTTCACAATGCCGTTCAATGGGATGTGCTTGTGAAATGTTCGTATAAACATTTTGCACGCATATATTGATATCAATCTATGATATTCGCGAACTGCGCGCATTCCGCACAAACATATCAACCTCGAACGGCGATGTTTCGACTCATGCCCAAATTCGTGAATGGAAATGTGTTGATGTTGATGTTGATGTTGATGTTGTTGTTGTTGTTGTTGTTGTTGCGGAACACATTTTTCATGCCGTACGTTTCCATTTAAAATATATGAAATTTTTTTGTTTGTCTTTTATGTGCCATACCATTCATTAGCATCCAGCCAGTCTGATCGAATGCGGTTGCTTCCAGAACGATACATTCACAATTCTTTGCAACACAAACTTTGCACTCATACACCCATGCACAGTGCACACATATCAACCGCAGCCAATTGAGTAATGCAAATTCATGGAAAAAATATTTGAAAAAGTGGAAGTCTTTTTCACACTGCTCGAAAACACATGAATCTTCAAACATATCGAGCAATTACTCGTGAATACATTTTGAAATAACAATTTTGTTTTCGCATGACGACTGATATGCGTAAAATAGGATTATGTCTGTCGCATCTGTATTCTGTTTTGTATGTTGATTTCGTGAAGAAATATTCGCATCCATCAAAATTATGACCAACACGTAAATCAAATTCCAATTTATTTCATTACCTGCAATAAATGTAGTGCGATTTAGTATCAGTAAATGGTGATGAAACGTGCTGTGTCGATGCTTTCGCTTTCTGATCGCATATCTCAATGGAAAATGGATTCCGCACAAACGGTTTCAAATTGGACTGGGTGACAATTTACTGTTTATTTGTTCGATTCTCTTGCCACTTTTTTCTGTTTGTTACCAATTTCAATGGCCTTCTAAAATGTCAATTCGCTGATGTTAGCAAATTTCACTTCACTTGACAGTGTCAAGTTGACACAGTCCAAGGCATGTTGAATCAAAACACAATTTATTGGTTCACAATTATCCTTCATGGTTTTTGTGCCATCCAGTGTAGAAAAATAGCGTGAAAAAAATTGTAATTTAAAGTCATCTTGTCGGATACAGCTATACAGATTAGCGAATAGACTTGCAAGTTTACGACCGATTCTGAATCTTACCCTGGTATTGCAGTAGTTCAAAGCACTCAGATCAAGAGACGGTAATGCTCGTAAAATCGAATATAATGGCAAAATGCATAAAATGAGGAAGACACAATGACCAATCAAGGTTGAATGCATCCAATACATTTCAGGCAATAATTTTTAAACTAAATTACACGAAGAAGAAGA